TTGGACGTAAGCAAACCAGCCCTTTTGGCGCTTCGGCTGGGACCGTGTGCTGAATGTTGGGGAGGGGATGGAGTCTCCGACGGTAGACGGACCACTTCAACTCGGTCCTTGGAACCGACACAATTTGGTGCTTACCTCAGAACTAAGCCTTAAAGAGAGGACGGGTCCGTCCCCTCTCCAAGGCTTAGTCCTGGGGTGAGCAAACCAGCCCTTCTGGCGGAGCTGCTGGACCAGCTGCACCACTTGCGTCAGTACTCTCCTATCGTACCAACCGAGTTGAAGTAAACCGTCGACCGTTGGGGACCCCATCCCCTCCCCAACATTCAGCATACGGTCCCAGCCGAAACGCCAAAAGGGCTGGTTTGCTTACCTCGTGGTTTTGCAATCCAGGTTTCGCACTACCTATGAAACATAAAACCCGCTGCTTCTTACGACCAACACGGCACACCAGAACGGATTATCGGCAGGCGCGTATATTGCTCGACCATGTTGGACGTACAATGATACTTCTATTTAACTTCGACTCGAAATCACACGGGGCCGGAATTCAATGTTCTCCCAAGAGGTTGGTGGCCGAGTATCCCTTGAAATTTCTTCGTTTTCAACGAATAGTTTCTTCATTTGCAGTGCATGCTTACTTTGACCTACATACATATACTCGATATCCGAGAGTTAGGGTAGGCGTGTCACCGGAAGTGACGTGCACTTGATAGAAGCTATGTGGATATGGAGCTATGTTGATATACGTATGAGCTCCTGCTTCTCTGAGCTCCCTGCCAGCTCACCAAGAAAGCTTGAAAAAAAAGAGTCCTCAACAACTACAAAGATTTGCTAAAAAGAAAGAATCCCTCATTGTAAAACTTGGTTTTTGGCCACATGCTCTGTCCAGTTGAAAGGTCCAAAGAAAGTGCTCAAGCGAGGTTTTGGCCTCGATACGAGTCTTTAGAGTGTATAAGTTATCTCTCACATCGAGAGTGTACAAAAATCGCAAATAGAGTCCCTGCATTTGATGTTTGCCGTGCGATGTTGTACTATGACGATGCGATGTGGCTCTTGGATCTCCTATCTGTGATGGATTACCTATCTAAGGGGTTATGAAATTGTCGATTCATTCCACGTGCACATCAGCTTCCCTGTTACGTTAAATCGCCACTTGGCCTAGCGTGCCAGAAGCCCTTGCCGCTTCATTCAAGGACAGGCATGATGCAATTTGTGTGTAAATTAAAAATCAATGTGGTGCATTTGGATGAGTGCATTATTTATTAGGCTGTTGAATTATAAACATATTTCTGGGTATACATAAAAATTGCTGGAACAGCAACAATTTAGCGCTTTAGAACAAAAGGTGGATGCTAACCCCCAGGGCGGAGTTTTTCCACACTTTCCGAATCGTTTTCCTTCACAAAGTACTGCGTTGATCCTGGATAAGCAGCACTCAGGTGGAGTGTATCGGGAGCTGATCAGCTGGAAAGTCTAAAGTCTTCAGTCAAGTCTCACACTTCTTCGTTGGGTGGTTTTTCCGTGGTACCCGCTTGGCCGTCGTGTAGCTAGGTTGGGTAGTCGTTTTGCGAAAGCCTACCGTGTAAGCTAGATTCGACCCTCAAGATGTCGTAGAACATCACCTGCACACTCACAATTTTCGGTTCGTCACCGTTTCGAAGGAAAAATTCAAGTAAAAAAACAAAATGATAGGACAAGGAGTGGTCACTGCGCATTCTACTACCCCAGCCTCCATAGACCAAATACGACTACCCTCGTTGATTTTTACGACGGTTGGCAGTGCTTGAATTATGCGCTTTTGTGATGAGAAGCCATTTGTCATTTGAAACCAAGAGTAAGGATTTTTTTTTTTTGTCATTGTATAAGCAACAAAATATTATTACAGTATACTTCGCCGGTCAAGGTCTGTACTTGTCTGAAAATTCGAGTCGAAGCACCATCACGCGTAATTCTTCCTTGGTCAGCTCAGTTGGCAGCAGGTTTTTTCAGAACATAGCTTTTTTGCTGTGTTTGAAACATCTGGACGAACTTTGTGAATTTTCTAGAGAAGATCCATTTTAGTATTGTGTTGGGTGGAGTAGTGCTCATCATCATTTTCTACATACGAAAAAGTATCGGCAGTGAAGGCCAAACAGAGCATGTTTGAAAGCTCCAACAGGAGCATGTCGGCCTCAACTACAGTTATCTTCAACGCTTCTTCGTCTTTTTTCTCTCTTCTCGAAACGTAGGGGGCACAAGAAATCTGTTGCAGGAAACTGTTATCGAACACAGGAAATATCCGTCATTTACGGAGCTCTACTCAGCTTCACCGTTGCTTTCAAATATCATCTTTGCACTGATGCCTGCACGAGGGACGACCGATTCTGAAATGGAAGCTGTGGAGAAATCAACGCTTCAAACTCAACTTGGTGAGGTTCGTGTGTGTGGTCCAATGCTGAAGTAGTGAGAGTGGTGTATGCCGCGATTACCAGGTACCCAACAACATATGTGCGTGAATGAGGTGTGTTTGTCCAACAGTGTGTGGTGTGTTGATTTTAGTGAGTGTTGTTTATGGTTTTTGCAAGGTGGCGTTGCGGTTGGCCGGTGGCACAGTGCGCGGTGCTCGGAGGGTTTAGCTTGCTATCGAAGTCCATGCTAGAATCTCTGCAAAAACCGTTACAGACATGTTGTGCTTAAAAAAAAGGGGGGGCTATGGCCTCTCTTCATTAATGTTGGGTTATCTGGAGGACTAAAGACCGTCATCTCTTGATACACCCGAGAAGGACGAAGTTATCGACCCTTTCTCGCATATTTCTCAACATGTTGAGAGGCCCCTGATCATACGGTTATTCGCATAAAATTAGAAGAAAGTGTAATCCTTGAGGTGCCACGTCCTTAAAAGCTACGGCAAGCCTGAATTTGATGAGTTTTGGCTAGCCAGATCCAGCATATGATTCCGAATGTTCCGAAGCAGAGTGTACCAATAACGGTCGAGGAAATCCTTGCTCTCTCATGCTCTCTCCCTCTGTGAGAAAATGTGGGGAACGAATGTACAGGGTGGCGAATACGTGCGCCATACACACGTCCAAACTTTCTTGTCCACAGAATTTTGGAGTATTTGATTTCATAAAACATTGAAACATTACATTTTATAACTGCAAGAAAGATTTGGAGTGGCTCTCATCAGTTTTGATAAATTTGTTTCTTTAGCAAGTCGATGGAGCGGCGAAACGGCTGGATGCACATTTAATTCCAAATTTTGCACAGTTCTTGGCAAAACCACTGAACTTTCCACATTTCAATTCTCTTACTTCTAGTAGTTCTCCAATAAAACCCTGAACAGAGATTATAATTGATCTGAATTCGGACCGTAAGCAGATTGAAAAAAAAATATCGTCAGAAAACAGCCGACGGCGGTAGCGAAGAAGTGTGTCGTTGGTCCATAGGCCCGAGCCCATCCCTGTGGCAAGATAGAGTTGTTATTCTGCTTCCTAAGGGCAACAGCTTTTTCAAGGATCCCTTCTTGGTAGACCTTTCCATTGATTTCCGCGCTTTTATCGATAAAAACGTGTGGAGGCCTACCGGAAGCACTGATCCAGCCTCAGATAATCAAATTTCAAAATTAGAGAACGGAATTCTTGCGGGCACTTTCCATTTACAGATGCTACTAAGAGCTGGGATAAAAGGGTGAAGGTGATTCCGAGAGTTTCGAGGCAATCAAAGTCAGTCTTTCTATCCTCCCAGACAAGTCTGGTACCAATTAACCGACTCTGGAGGGATGGAAGGCTCGGTCTATTTTTTTGAGTTATGAGAGTTGGATGTGTGTGGAAGGAATGGAATTGTAGTGAGCATCGACTCCAATGCATGAAACAAAATGCAAAGATTCCGTACTAATAAACTTAACATTTAAGGTCAACTCGCGAATACAGCACGTGAACCGAGAATGCTCCTTCTGTCCTTCTTCTTTTTCTTCTATGGATTTCATGTTTCATTTTGGATAGGCGCGTATCCGACAACTTTTGCGTTCTCGAAAATTCTATCGACAAACATCTATCTGCCGGCATATTATGCTGTCATGATTGGACTAGGTGACATTATTGGTGAGTTCAATTTCAACATCGTAAACGGTTTGATGATGGTCAAAGGGGTCGTAAAAAATGAATGAAAAGATAGTGTTAAGAAAAGAAGTGCGAACAGACAGTTCATCCCACAGTTCACCTTTCAAGCATTTGCCAATAAACTGCAATAGAACGAGGAGCGAGAGACTGTTTTGACAATAGATAAGCTAGATCTGCTGGAATGTTGAGGAAATGGCTTAGATGGTCCAAAGGAAAAAAAACGTGCGACAAAAACTCATGGCAGATAGCGAGGAAAAAAGAGACAACACACTGGCAATGGCAATGGAATAAGCAGGGAGAGGATTCTAAGAAATGAATTTCGGTGTTAGGATAGGATGTTCAGTCGTTGGAAGAAGGAAGACGAAATGGAGAAGAAAGGCCAGCTTCATTAAATAATAATAATAATAATAATAATAATAATAATAATAATAAATAATAATAATAATAATAATAATAATAATAATAATAATAATAATAATAATAATAATAATAATAATAATAATAATAATAATAATAATAATAATAATAATAATAATAATAATAATAATAATAATATAATAATAATATAATAATAATAATAATAATAATAATAATAATAATAATAATAATAATAATAATAATAATAATAATAATAATAATAATAATAATAATAATAATAATAATAATAATAATAATAATAATAATAATAATAATAAAATTTCTTCTTCTTATTCTTTAGCGTCTGTCCCGCTTGTAGGCGGGGTCCGCTTTTCTGATGTGTTGACGCCACTTCTCCCGATTGAATGCTTGATCGGGGTGGATGTTAACGCTCTTCAAGTCTTCGTGCAACGTGTCGAGCCATCGCTGCTTCGGACGTCCTCTAGGCCGCTTTCCGCGCACGTCAAGGTTGAGACCGATCTTACGGACACTGTCCTCATTCGCGCGAAGAACATGTCCATACCATCGGAGACGGGCTTCGCGCATTTTATCAACAATCGGAGCTACACCGAATCGCTCCCTGATGACATCATTACGAATGCGATCTAATCGTGTGACTCCGGCTGTCCAGCGGAGCATCTTTGTCTCCATCACACCGAGACGGGCTTCAACTTCTTTGGTCGCAGGCCAGCACTCAGCACCGTAAATGGCGACCGGCCGGATGACGGTTCTATAGATCTTGGATTTGAGACGCTCAGGTATATTCTTATCGCAGAGAACGCCAGTCATCGAGCGCCATTTCAACCAGGCTGCATTCACGCGAGAATTCGTTTCCACGACCAGGCTGCCGTCAGACGCAATTGCTGATCCAAGATACTTGAATGTTGTTGTACGTGTGAGCTCAGTACCATTGATCTTAATAGAGCCTGGCTCACTCGGATCGGTGGTCAAGTACTCTGTCTTTTTGACATTCAACCTGAGCCCGAACATAGCTAGACGGTCGGACCAGGTTTGCACCTGTTGCTCGAGCGTGCTTTTATCTTCGCTAGCGAGCATCACGTCATCAGCATAAAGAAGCGTCCATGGTACCGGCTTCTGGAGATCTTTTGTAATGGCATCCATGACGACAACAAATAGCAGTGGGGATAACGCAGAGCCTTGGTGTACTCCGACAGAGATGGGAAAATCCGTCGATGTGCCCGCGGCCGTTTGCACTCGGCTCTTTGGACTCGAGTACAGGATGCGCACCCACTCAATAAGCTCTTCGGGAACGCCATGCTGTCGTAAAGCATACCATATAACGTCACGTGGAACGCGATCGAAAGCCTTCTCCAAGTCTAGAAAGGCAAGATGTATCGGCTTTTGTTTTTCGCGATGCTTTTCTAGCAGAAGGCGAGCGGCGTGTATGGCATCGATGGTGCTGCAACCAGCAACAAAACCACACTGGTTGGTGGTCAGCTCGACGACGTCACGGATACGACTGTCTACAATTCGCTCAAAGATTTTCATGCTATGCGAGAGCAGGCGAATTGGACGGTAGCTAGTGCAGTCTCGCAGGACTGCCCTTTTTTCTTCCAGATTGGAATCGTCGTGCTCTGTTGCCAGCTCTCAGGCACCTTCTTCTCTGCAACGACCTGGTTGAAGAACTCCGTCAACCACTCTGCAGGATTCCAGCACTTTGATTTCCACAAGTCCGCCGCTAAGTCGTCAGGACCAGTTCGCTTTGCCTGATTTCATCTTCTTCATGGCCGTAATGGTCTCCTCCATGGTTATCTTCTGAACGGGGCCGTGTACTGGCGGAGCGCAAGGGATGGCGGGATGAGCAAATTCGACTGTTGAGATGTTCTCGAAGTATTCACACCATCGCTTCAATGCTTTCTCGCGGTCCGTCAGAAGGTGACCATTCGCATCATTTATGCCGAAGAACTTTTCTATATCCTCGGTCTGGCGATAGCGGGTCTTTGCGAGTCGGTAAATGTACCGTTCACCATCGCGCGACTCGAGTTTCTCATTGAGATCGGCAAAATGAGCTGCTTTCGCAGAAGCAACGGCCTTCTTTGCCTCTTTCTTCGCTATCTGATAGCGCTGCCAGCAACCGGCTGTCTTCTCCGAAAGAAAAGCGTGGTAGCGCTTTTTCTTCTCTCTTACTTTCTCTCTAACTTGATCCGTCCACAGCCATGTTTGCTTATCAACCTTTCTCCGTCCAGGCTTCGTCATGCCGAGCTCGGATCGCGCAACCTGGGTGATCGCTTCGGCAGCACCTTTCCAAGTTTCGTCGACAGTCGTTACCGCTGGCAATCGAATGCGGGAAACGACGGCCGCTTCTTTCTCCTTCAGTCGCCACCACTTGATTCTCGCTGGCCCACATCTTTCGGCTAGTTTCGGTCTCGGTGGGGCGATTTTTAGCGTACAAATCAATGGTCGGTGTTGTGTGACGACCGTTTCATAAGGTACTACTTTTGCGTCCGTTACGAGCCCTTGATCACGGTGCCTAACAAGGACGAAATCGATTTGTGTTCTGGTTTTACCGCTATAGAATGTGATAAGATGTGAGTCACGTTTTCGAAATTTCGTGTTTACTATGGCGAGATTATGCGAGTCTGCATATTCAAGAATTCGTTCGCCATCAGTATTACGTGACCCATAACCAAAACCACCATGACAGCTATAACCGTCTTTCGTAGCGCCCACGTGGCCATTGAGGTCACCGGCAACAATTATGGCTTCTTGTGACGGTACCTCAGCTGTCTTCTCATCAAGCAGGTTCCAGAACTTGTCCTTGTTTTGCTCGGAGCATCCAGTCTGCGGAGCGTACGCAGAGAAGAAATGGTATTTTTGATGTTCCATGACGACAACGATCTTCATTAAACGGTCGTCGAAGCGCTCCCACTTACTATCGAATCACGAAAGCGTTCAGAGACAATCATCCCGACGCCATTGGTGGTTCTGGGACCGCCACATAGAACGGCTTTGAAGCCGCGGCCAATGTCCCTCGACTTGCAGCAGGACCACCTCGTTTCCTGCACGGCACAGAAATCAATTCTTCGGCGCTCTAGAGCTTCTGCTAACTCGTGCGAGCGTCCCGTTAACGTGCCAACATTTAACGTCGCAACGCGAGTCTTCCATACGTTGCGGGACTTTTGGACTAGCCTAGTTGCCCCCCGATGCCGTCCTTGCACCGGAGACCCTCGCATACTTTTCACACTCGCCGGGCTTTGCGAGTGCGCGTCGGCTCCCGCGGACGCCGTAGCATTATCTCGAGATACTTGTAGCGACATTGACATTGTGATGTGACGTGGGTGTTCGTAGGCCGGCCTGTCACGGGGGCCTGTCGCCTGCATTCGAATGTCCGTGGTCGGCTCAGCTCACAAAAGTGAGCAGTTTCCAGTGGCACCACTTGGAGGAACGGACATCACCACCAATAATAATAAAATAATAATAATAATAATAATAAAATAATAATAGTAATAATAATAATAATAAGACACTCTATGTTCGAAACCTCTTCACTTTTTACTCGAGTGGCGCATAAAGACTTCAACATCTTCGACAAAGAACATCGACTGCTCGACGTCGTTTGAGTCAGCACAAAGCGTATAAAGGAGAGTCATGACATAGGGCAATCGCAAATAGCTTCACCATTTCGGATGGAGAATGAAGTTTTAAAAAACGAAGGTTAAGACCTCAAACCCAAAGAGCATGTCATCAAACCCATAGAGTCACTTTACAAAGTTAGAAAAAGTACCCAGATATCTGCGTTTAAAAAAGAGCCAAGAGGGTGAAATTGCATTACCATTACAACCTAATAACAAAACTTTAGTTGGCTGGTACATCAATGTGTTCGACAAAAGATATCCTAATTTTGGTCTGATTCCAACAATGTTCTCACAGCTCCTGTTGAGTGCTATGGTATACTGCCTGACCCTTTTGTCTACTTCAAATTTGTCTACCATAGAGACAAACGATGACGATTCTATGCTGATTACTCCATCGTGAGTTCTTCATCTTCTACTCAGAAAACTAATACGTAAGTAAAGGGTTGAGAGTGTAGCCTTCACTGGTAGAACGAAACCTGCGGTGCTACTCGGTGAAGATTAATGAAAAGCTCAATTATTCAGACGCATTTTCCATTGCAGTGTGGGAAAATGCTCAATGATGTGCTATGGTTTTTACCGCGATGTTAGATGCTTTCCGTAAGCGGACTTACGATACAAAAGCCATTAAGAATATCTTCGACTCTATGATCTCTTTACTAAGTGGATTTATTGCAACAAAACGATTTAGAAGCTTAATTCTTATATTTGGGTCCCAATGGAATTTCTGTGCGCTACAAATTCAGCACTGGAACCAGCGAAAGAGTGCTGCACGCTGAACCCCATACGTATTACGTTTTTTGCCTTTTGACAGTTTTCCGTGTTCATGCCGTTTCTAAACAATCCATCACATAATGAGGTGTGCGCTTGGTAGCTGCAAAAATTTTGTGACTATAGTGGAAATGCCTTGATGGTGAAGGTTTTACGGAAGCGCATTGATCTCGCAGGAGCAATCGTGTTTCAGTTTTTTCACTTGCCATATTTCAGCACCTCCATTTGTTGTATGATTGGATTACTACATGGTATGATAGATTGCTGTTCGTGCTCAATGCGAGCGCTTATTTGCACAATTGCATTGCCACGAAAGAGGCTTCAAGCTTATTCACTGTCCAAGCTCTATCAGGTAATCAGTCTAGTAATCAGTGTTCTCATCGTAATTCAAATACTGATTGTTGTTATAAGCTCTCAGACAGGGCCTTGAGATATAAAAATCCCAATCGAGACTTTCTTTCGTTGCCTTCTTTCAACCAAAATTCCCCATTGAGAACGCCTTGATACACCATTGTATCGACACCCGAAAAGAGATTGTTGTTGGTGGTTGCAACCCGTCGCTATAAGAGTACGGACCAAAACTATGTTCAAACCGCATTAGATAGAACACGTGTGATAACCGCGCAATTTACTCCTTATGAAATCTTTTTATATGATCAATGTGCTCAAGCCAGCCGCATTGAGTGGCTTAGCAGATGAGCCGTAATCGGGCGTCTAGGAAAATTTGCTCTGTATGTTGAAGGCTTCATCAGATGTTTTCTAAGTGACTTCTTGAATTTTCATGTCGGGAACTCAAGCGGCATTGAAGAACAAATAATCATATGAAAACACGTGATCAGTTCAGCAGCCTTACCAAAATAAGGCCGACTTCTCGCACGCACCGCATCGCTGTACATACATACATATGTGCGCGATACTCACGAGAACTTGGACATTACTAAGAGAGGATGTGTACGGCATGAAACGTACTGCCAATATCTTCTGGGAAATTAGTAATATCCAATATTTTCCCTCAAAAAAGAGCATATTCGGCTGTTCATGTTATAGCTAGTCACGTCTATGTTACTGTACACGGCTATTCATGTTTTACTTAATTTTGCAGTCGGCCGCATCTTGCGCAGCATTCTTTCTCTCACCTCACCTCACTATTTTCTGGTGGATGGTTCTCCTCACAGGTATTCAACATTTCACGTTGGGCTTGGGGTGGTGTAAAACATAACATTTTGCTGAATTATTTCACTTGACCAGTTTATTTTAGAACGATTTTAAGGTATGCAGTGCTTGTCCGTAATTGGTTTTTTCATCGTTTCAAAGCAGGTCACATCAGAAGAGGTTTTCAAGGAGAAGGATTTCAAGCCAATCAAGATACATCCGGCGGAGAACGGTTGCGATTTAAAAATAAAAACGCTTGAGGCTGGAATATAATAAACATCGTTATTGCATCGGTTTAATAATAAGCTTGAGTAGGAGCTGTGATATTAGTCCAGCTAAAACCGGTGCCTAGTTGTTGAAATTAACGTCTGCACCATTTCCACCTTTCACCTGTCTATCGCTCCGCTCACAAGAAATGTCTCTTCGTCTCTGCTCTCAGTAATATACAATGGTTTTGGCCTCACAAATACGTGAACCCAATAAGACGGCTCCTGTTTGCAAGCGACTGGTGCAAGGTCTGACTAGCTGTTAGACTAAGGGAATCAGCTTAATAGGCTTCAAATAAAGTAGCACATATCCAAGTTTACATCACTCCTAAAGCGAGAGATTACGATCAAGTGTGTGTGGAAGCATGGAAGTACATACAGTAGCAATCAGAAGCGTAGAAACTTTTTTATTTTTGATCTAGCGTAGCCAACAGACAACGCAGTTGTCCCGAATTCACATAACTACGTGCATGAATACGAATTGTGGATTTACCATTAAGAAAAGTATCATGGTGGACGTGAATAGAGTCTAAGGAGAGTTCCGCGAAAAACCGTTCAGCGAAAATGAAACATGGTTTTGTGTTCCTTACATGCGTCCCTACAATATGCAAAGAGCCGTTTGAAAAAGCGTGGCTCGCTCTGAAAGGCTCTCCTTCTTAGACGTATGTTGTCTCGTATTCATGTAAGGAACACAAAACCATGTTTCATTTTCGCTGAACGGTTTAGCAGTACCAAAAAAGAAGCATAAGGTACTGTTAAGGGTTCGATCCCCCGTGGCGACTAAATTTTGCATTTGGGTTGGCGCCTACGGGTTGGTGCCAAATCGCGCTAAATGCCAAAATGTCACATTATCTTCAGGACCACTTTGAAGCCAATGAGTGGCCGCTAAGTTCAGATCATATAGCCAATTTACTGAGGCATTCACTTTGGTGAGCACTTTTTTCAAGGCAATCACTTTTCGCACTATAGTTGTAAGCGATAAAAAGCGATCGTCGGGAGCCATGTACTCATTCGCCCATCATGCCAGCCAGGGTGAAGGCAACGGTCGCGGATTTAGACAGGGATCCTATATTTCTTTCAAAGAGAGGCGAGGGAGTCCTGAGTGCAAGGACTAATAAAAGACGAAGAGTGCTGCTGCCGCTCACTCGCTGTGTCGGCACTGCTTTTACAAGCTTTAGGATTGGGATAAAAGTGGCATCTTCTTAAAACTGTCTGAAATTAAAATTCCAATGGATGGTGCTTGTAGCCTTGCCTAGTAAAGATCACCGCGATGACGCAGAAGTAAGCGCTATGCAAAAAAAAATCGTAAATAATCTAAATATAATATCTACCAGTTTCGCTCCGCCCGCTATCGCGCGCATACACACGCCAGGCTTTACGAAAATGAGGCCCATGGAATATATATACAGGGGGGGCCAATAAAAAAAAGACATTTTGTCTCCACTTCCAGATGGATTTAAGCACATTTTGCTCAATTCAGACCGAACGGTTCCAACTTATTATTAAAGAGCGCATTCCATTCTATAAGAAAATCTTCATGGTGGCCACCTACGTGGACGGCATCAGAAGAATTTGCCCTGGAAACATGGTGCACTGGTCGAGCTCAATGGGGTCTTCGAAGGATCGTGTACCATAACGACCCTTACTGGAAAGCTAGTTCCGAGGGATTTGCACAGTGGTAGCTAATGCCTCTAGAAAACTATCCAACATTAAATCGATTCACGAAATTGCGTAAGAGCTTCAGGCTGAAGCTCTTACGGTAGACCTCCTTGAGCCTGACGACGGTGACAGATGACGTCATATTCTGAAGACGGTGAGGGCAGTGAAGGAGGGCCTGCGTTCACTTATAGAGGAACACTTAGGGAATACTCTGCTGAGGAACTCCCGTCAACGACAGCAATCTCTGCGAAGAAAAAAGAGCCGAAGTCCGACATAGGCAAAATGTCTTTTTTTTTGGCCCCCCCTGTATGTACTCCATTAACCACCTCACTATTGAATGTGTTAGACCTTTCCCAGTTTCGCTGAAGTCCATCGAATACGCGTGATAACGTCTGGAGCTGAACTGGCATATTTATCTCACAACTGTAAACATCCAGCATTTTTCTTGAATTCAGATAATTTAGCGGTGAATAGGATTGCTGTCAGTCTCAAAATGAAACGAAATATGCCTATTTACATAAGTGAGGAGCTAAGGCTTATCATTTATTTACATTCACCATTATTTAGAACCCCGAAAGGATTAGCGGTTTAATGAGTTTGGGCTTTCTTGATAGAAATGAAAGTTATCATTTGCTGAAGACTTGATTGAGTTTATGCAATCGACTGCTATTAAGTAAGCTGGTCATACAATGATACAATGTGCACGTACCACTACAAATAGAATTTGTAAGTAGGGACGCTCTAGTATCAGCGCAAGCTACGCAAGCTGCGTTCTGACGCGCCTTATCAGCCTTTATCAGTTGTAACCACTTTCATCACCCACCAACAATGTCCCCGTCCCACCCCACATAACACTTGTAAGTATGGACGCTCTAGTGTCAACGCAAGCTACGTAACGGAATCGACTTTTGCGTTCTGACGCGCCTTATCAGCCTTATCAGTTGTAACCACTTTCCATCACCCACCAACAATGTCCCCGTCCCACCCCACATAACACTTGTAAGTATGGTTGCTCTGGTGTCAACGCGAGCCAGGTAACGGAATCGACGACTTTTGCGTTCTACGCATCTTATCAGCCCTTATCAGTTGCTATCGCTTTCATCATGTACCACCAATGTCCCGGGACCACCCCACATAACACTTGTAAGTATAGACGCTCTAGTACCAATATGAACGACAAAACGAAATTGGCGATGCTCGCTTTCTAGCCCCTCTTATCAGCTATTATCAGTCGTTATCAGTTCCTATCACGTACCACTTGTGTCCCCATCCCACCCCCTATAACATA